AATTGGATGGAGAAAGAACTTGTTTGCAATCGTGCCTCTGAGATGTAGAAGCAAAATCAGATTCCATTGGAGTACCCCAAGTTCTCTGAAAGACACGGTTTTGCTGTTCTCCTACATTAATTCATTTTAATAAAGAACATCTAAATCCATGCAGTGATACTGATGGTAGAAAAGAGCAACCAGAGAGTTGGTTGCAGTCCCAGGTAACTGAGTTCCTTTGCATCAACCTTCAAAAAACAGGAATGCATTCTTTTCATTTAGCAGAAAGCCCTCAGGCTGCAGAACCCCCTTCCCCTCCAACACCATGAGCCTTCCTGACTTGGTGGTCTGTTGCAACTGCTCAGATCCTTGCAGGCAGCAGCAGTGAGCGCAGTGGATGAAGAAGGAAGGACCCTTGCCTGGGAGGAACAGCCCCTCCCACAGGGTGCTGGCCACAGGCACTGCAGACCTACTCTGCAGTGTAGCAGCAGATGTGGGCACTGCCCCAACCCAAATTAAATAACAGCTCAAATGCTCATAAATAGATTTTTCTTTATTGGCTTGTTAATGTACACACAGGCAGCGCTATCCATCTCTTGGTGGGACATGGGCTGCAGGAGCAGCCATGGGATCTGTGTTTGTGAGAAAAGCAGCTGATTGATGCAGCCACTGTACTCAATGATCCCGTGACAGAGTGTCAGTGCAAGGGGCTGCAATGTCACCCAGAGCCTCCTGTGATGGGGTGGAGTTCTGGGAGGCTTCAAAGCTGTCTACTCTGTGCATATATCTATGTTTGGACTGCCTTCCTGGAACCTGGGCAAGGTGGGCCAATGCTCCTGCTGTTGGTTTCAGTAAAGGAGATGTAAAGGAATAGCCAGGCTGAGGACGCTGTAGAGAGTGGTTTAGTGCTTTTCAGCGGGGGAGAGCACAGAGCTGGTAGGCAGGAGGTACGTTGCCTGTCCCACTCAGCGTCGGGGTTATGCTGAGCTCCTGGGGGTCGACAACAGACTTCAAGGTAAAGTTCTGCAAGATGGTGGCTACGAGTAAGAATATCTCCATTCGTGCCAAGCCCTCTCCAGGGCATATTCGCTTTCCTGAAAGTGGAAGCACAAAACAGCACTCAGTAGGTGTTTCTAAGTAGACCAGAGTTTGTACTAAGCAGATGTGTTGCACAGCTTTATTTACTACACACAGCCACAGCAGTGAGATGACTGTCAAGATTTACTAAGGACATTTTCAAGAGAAGAAACTACCCTTGGCAGTTTGGATGGGTGTATGAAGGAAGAACAGGAGTGTAGGAGAAGTCTCAGACATGGAGAGAACATCACAGGAGTCAAGATGAGAGAGAGCAAGGGGACATAAAGCACAGGTGAAAAAGTGGAAGGTTGAGGTTATTTTTAGGTGAGTGGTGGCATGTAGAGGTGCTGGGAAAAAGCGGAGCTACCACTTAAAGAAGGTTGGTTCAGGATGACTTTGGTGGCTGTATGGAAGGTGACAGGAATTTTAGAAAGTGTCAGTGGATCCCATTCACATCATTACATTGGCAACTCCTAGTAGGAAATTTGGGAAGCCTTCAGGCCTGAACAAGGTGGGACATGCCACTGGAGATGGGAGCAGCAGGGAAGAGTTATCCAGAGAGCACCGAGCCCCAAGGAAGCACCAGTGGGACCATGTTGAGAAGAGGCAGTGTGTGTTACAGGGAAAGGCAGGGTAGTCACCAGAGGAGAAGGCTGACAGACAGAGAAAAAGAGAAAGCCTGTGCTTTACCTGCTGAGAAGGGCATGAAGAAGTTGCTCTTCTTAAAGGTGCCATTCTTGTTCAAGAAATGTTCAGGGTTGAACTCATATGGATTTGCAAACTCTTTACTGTCATGGAGGACAGAACTGAGGACAGGATAAATTGTGGTTCCCTGAAGTAACACAAGAAGAGCAGAACGTGAAGGGGAGGTAACTTAGATCACTCAATTTGACTGCCTGCCAAGTTAAAACTGAGATTCCCAGTATAGCCCTACCAGTGCCTTTGGTTTCCCTTTGGGGACCCTTCTTTTGGGGAGGCAGCGTTAGGGAGACCCTAGTGGATGTCTCAGCAGTGACAATTGTTGGCTGCTCTTCCTTAATGCTCCCTTTCACCTCCAGAACATTTATCCTCACCTTGCTCTGGTCATCAGGGGACATCAGAGCTAATTCTTCCTCTTTCTTAGTGTTTCACAATAATGAACTTGTAGGTGCACCATGTCCCTTCTTTTCTGTGAGCCTCAAAAAACGAAAGCACACAAGGTTGTGGAAATGAAGCTCACTTCCCCTCCCCTGACAGATTTCTCCTGCCACAATCCTCTTCCTGACCAGACATTGATGGGGGCTGCTAGAAGTTGAGCAGTTCCCTGGATCCTGCCTTATGATTATATACAGACAGCTGGAAATCACAATGCCAACAGCACATGTGCTGCTGTTTACAGTCACCCAGAAGAGCAGCGAGTTGCTGCAGTGGGTCAGGCCAAGCCATGGGCTGCTGTAACCCACCAGCCTGCCTTTGGCAGTGGCCAGCAGAGAAGGCCTCAGGAAGTATGTGAGAACAGAGCAAACAGGTTTTGCTTGTTCCATTGAATGGAAACATACCCTCCAGCACTTTGTGGCTCAGGGGCTTTCTGTGCTCAATAACCAGCAACTGACTTTGCTTCCAAGCATGTGCATAGGCTATCCTGGGTGGTGGTGAGCAGCTCCATGACTTTGCTGCTCCGGGTTTTTCTGAACCCACTGTGCTTCCACAGATAGGTAAAGCAAGGGAACAAATGTGTTGGTCAGCGCTACTGTTTTAGTCTTGGCCCATGGAGCGTCAACAAGGGAGCGCAAATGAGCTACAGAAGCCTGAGGATAAAACCTTCAAGATGGTCTGGGTGAAAACAAGGTCAAGCCACAACAGTTCTGGCTTCTGGCTGTAACAGCCTAAGGGCAAATGTGCTGCCACCTCGTGTTGAACTTAAGGGAGCTGGCCCACTAACCTTAGGAATGATGTACTCTCTGAAGCAGGTGTCTTTGGTCACAGTGTGAGGGAGAGCCAGGGGGATAAGAGAGATGAAGCGCTGGATTTCATGGACCACCGCATCTGTGTAGGGCATCTGGTTCCGGTCAGCCACACACGGTTTTCTTGATCGTCCTATTACCTGGTCAATCTCTTCTTGAACTTTCTCTATCATGAGAGGCACAAACCATAAAATGGGTAAATATAACCAAACCTACATAAATAGGTTGCCCTAAGCTGTTTACAAATCACAGATGGCAGGGGCACTGATGTTGGTTTTGGTGTTCACTAGAACACAGTTCCACTGCTGCCCATGCAAAGAAAGTTTTCCTATTGACTTGGCTAAACAGGAGTACTGGGAGATAAAGGTGTGGACACAGTCAGATGCCAGGCTGTGAAGGGACTGGAGCTGATGATGATGCCAGTGGAGCTGAGGGGCCTCCATTGGCCACCATGAGGAATGACAGTGCAAGGCTTTTGTCCATTTGGGTAAAATATGAGAGAGAGAGAAAGGAAAAGCTGGGAGAAGGATGTGGTGTTAAGCATGTGCCCAGCCCAGGGAAAATGCTAGAAAGGAAGAGATCACAAGCTGGTACCTTGTATCTTTGGATGTTTGAGAAGCAGCAGAAGCCCATATCGTATGGTGGTGCTAGTTGTCTCAGTTCCAGCAATAAACAAGTCAAAGGTGCTTGTTATCAGGTTCT